TGTATTTTCTCCCTACCTGATCCCTCCAGAATTTGGCATTCTGAAGAAATAATGACACTCTAAGGTTTCTTTGCATAAAACCAATAAGACCAGTCATTAACAGTAGTTTTGTTAACCGGGACTTTGACTGGAATGTCACGCCTGAAGGTTCTGGTCATTACCAGAAAGCCCTGAGGAACTGGGATTGACCTGTGAAGCTAGTGAAAGCCCGTGAGAAAAGCCTAGTACTTTAGTTGGTTGTGTGGTTTGTGCCAGTCTTTCCAGGGAAGGAATGAAGGTTGCTTTCCTGAAAGATGGCTGAAAAGGAACCTGTAAGCACAATGGACGCTCAAGGATTTGAGTGAAACGACAGGTACAGGCGAGGCTAGATGTGTGGTTCTGCTTCTGTGCCCTGAGGGGCGGATTGAGAAGTCAATCTAAGAGTTCCCTGTGTGAGTGTGTGAGTTCCAGCAAAGCAGACTTAAGGATCACAAGCAATCCAGGCTACTTACTCTTGATGTGTTTATGCAAACGAACAGCCAAAATCAAAAGCGGGACCCAAAGTAGTCCCTGTAATAACAGTGAGGGTGATCTTAAGGAGAAAAATTGCAGTTCAAAGAAAATCACAATGCTCAGTATTGGACATTGGAATGGTGTAGATAACCGTCTTGAAAGTTATTTTCATTAAAAAGTTGAAACCAGGTTTGTGATATCACTAAAGATGTACAATTTAGAGGTGCAAAGGACCTTGCAATGGAATGTCTTCCCAAAAGACAGTCTCACAGGTGCAGAGACTGGTTTGAAGATTGTTAATTAACCTGCATGTTCTTCTGTTTCCACAGGGCGCATGCCTACCACCTGCCTATGCCTATGAGTAATTTGTAGCAATATAAGCCTCACTTAAGGAGCCCATCTTTGTTATCGCCCTCCTGAGAATCAACGGTGTGGTTGAACTAAGTAGTTAAGTTAATAAAAAGTTAGGGCAGTCTATAGGCTTCACTTTGGAACTGATTTTCCTTTTTCTGTCTTGATAGCTTGGACAGAAAGGGCTCAGAAATCTGAAAAGAGAGAAATCTTAATATATTCCCCTCAGCCCAAGTGAAGTATAGTAAGCCACAAGAGTCTTGGATAAATATAGCAAATAAGCCATTCTTTACTGAAGTATCTGCCTTTGTCAATTAATAGTCATGATTTAATTGTACTTCCAATTTCTTGCCTAATCTGTCACCTCCAGAATACAACCTGACCAGTATGCCAACTGTCCGATAATGCCAGCCTTTGGACGCCAAGCCTGCGACTTCCTGGTGACAGCCAACTGACCAGGACCCTGTGAGGTCTTTCCCCTTACAGGAAAGACTCCCTCCGTGCTGCACTTCCCCTTCAGGGCACCCCTAACCCAAGGGTGGCTAACCCAAGGGTAGCTAAGACAGCGTCCATTTCCAGCTGGAAGAAGTTAAAAGAAGATAAGACCTTCGTTCATTTTCCTTTATATGATCATGAAATGGGTGTAGATCTGAAAGGAGGAATATTGATACAGGGTGCATCCGAGGGGGGCCCCAGAAAGGATTTGGGATGAGATCCAAAGTTCGGGGTGTCCAAGAAATATTGAGATGTACTCACCACCCCCCAGGAGGAGGAGACGAATAGAGCAGGGCCATTGAGAGCTGTTGTGCATAGCAACAGGTTTGCAGCTGACCTCTAGAGTGATGATTATGGCTTTTGGCTAGTTTCATGGATCTATTAAATAGTATAGCCAGGCTTAGAGCTAAGGAAATAAAGTCACTTACTCAGGATGTAACTAGGAGCAGGGCCCCTGAGGGGGGAGGCCTGTATAAGAGCTTAGAAAAGATCAGCTCCAGGACATGAGGGGATAACTACCCAGGTGAAAGAGGGAGTCACATGGTTTAGGGCAGAGTGATGACCCCTGCAGCTTTAATAGAAGAAGCCCACATGGCTTTGGGTGCCCCCTTTGGCCGCGTGGGGCCTGGAAAACAAGAGAGACTTTGACTAGAATTTGTTACAGAAGAACTCTTGCCAGTAGACCGTAAGACAATGCCACCTAACTTTGGATTAACTAGAGATCCTGCCTGATACGGCTGATGGTGCCAACAACCTGAAACACAGATGTGTACTCTTTCTTGATTTACAGTACCCGGAGTTGGGACAGTGTGAGTAGGGAGCAAAGACATGAAAGTATTTTAGGTTGAAAGACTTGGTTTCTGACTGCTCTTTTACAATAATAACACTGGAATTATAGGTAATAGCAAGGGGGACTTTGTGCAGCACTAAGAGAAGAATGCTGTTTTTATGCCAACCACTCAGGAATAATAAGAGACAATGACTCCAGCCAGTATGCCTCAATGTTCAGAACCTCCCCCTGGCTGACCACCCTACTCTCAGCCATAGCTGGGCCACTGCTAATATTATTGTTATTGTTAACTATTGGACCCATAATACTCAACGAGATCCTCGCCTTCATCAGAGAACAGGTGGAAGTAGTCAAACTAATGGTCCTGTCCCAGCCACACACCATACTACCTGGGGACGAGACCGAATCAAAGGTCTGATTCATAACCAAGAGAAGGGGGGAATGTTAGGGCTGGAATTAGATAAAAGTAGCCAAGAGGAACCCGAGGCAGGCTCCAGACTGTCTCAGCACGGAAGATAGAAAGTACAGAAAGTACAAAGAGTGCTGAACAAGATAAACCACCTTGTGCATGACCTTGTCCTTGCAGTGCAGAAACGTATCCATTGTTGCAAGCAGAGAACATAGCCATGTGTGTTCTCTCAGGATAGCCAATTGCTAACAGCTACGTCTGCTTCTGTATTTGCTTGCTTGCTCACCCCAATAAAAACCCCAGGCTGTAAGCGCTAGGCGCGACTCTCATCTGCAGCCATTTTGGTACCGTGTCTCCGGAGACACCCTGAAAGTTCGCCCCTGTGCAGGTAAAACTCTGAAACTTTGGCCAATAAAGTTCCATCTTAAACTCCTGAAAGCTTCCGACATTTTTGCTCGCATTGGGGTGTTACAGTGGGAATGCAAAATGGCACCGTCATTCTGGGAGAGTGTGGTGGTTCCTTGTGAAACATGCCCTCACCAAAGACTCAGCAACCCCACTCACTCCTAGGTGTTTACCTAGGCAGAACCAATTGTGTTTATATTAAAAGCCTATCTGTGAATGTGAAATGATAACCAAGCCTGAATACATCCATACAATGAAGTATGCAGCAATGGAAAGGACTGAGCTACCGATTCACACGACATGGATGAATTTAACATGTATTTTGGTATGCAAAAGAGGACAGACTCCAAAGACTACACAATTCTACCACTTACATGGCATTCTGGGAAAAGAGCAGAACTACAGGAATGGAAAACACAGTTGCCGGGGTGGGGAGCTGAGTACAAAGGCGATTATTTAGGGGGATGGAACTGTTCCGCACCGAGACAGCGGGCACATTTGTCAAAGCCGGAACGGAGTGAATGCTGCTGTGTGAAAAAACCAGCTGGATGTCAAGAGATCACAGACGGAAAGCGGAGTGTGACAAATGGATGTGTTGCAAAATGTGTCACATAACCTCAATGGAGAGAGTGGGGAATAAAAGAAGCTGAACTAAGTTACCTGGAAAATGGTATTTTGGGTAGAAAGTATAGGGCTAAAGATACAAAAATGTACTTCAATGCTATACTCTAGTTCATTCATTTATCACAGGGGTACTCAGCTATTCCAAAACCACTTTCTAAGTATTCTAGGGCTGAACGAATAAGCAAATAAGTTGCAGCTAAAAGGAGCCGGGTTTCTCACTGTCAGAGAAAGAACGAAGTTACAAGTAAGCAAAGAGGCAAACCAGAATGAACCTTGTGCTGCTGGATGAAAGTCAGTTTCCCTTAAGAGAGATGGACAGGTAGATCTAGAAATAACATAGAGATGCACCTGCACATTGTCAGTACGCATATTTACATCTCTTAGTTTGCTTCACTGAACAGGAGGAAAAGCAATAGCATCAAGCACACCCAATACCCAGATTCTGGTTTCTAAATACCCTCCTCCAATAAAAGGAACCAGGGCTTCTGGAAGAAATAGCTCGTTCCTGGGCAGATGACCACATAATACTTGTAGTGCTACAAAGTAATAATATGGCCTTAAATGTAACAGATGAGGGCATGTTGAAAGAAATTAAGAGTGGATCAGAAAGTGTTTGCAATAACCAAAGCTGAAACAATTTGCACAACAAAATAATAACAGTGTTGGATTTTACCCTAAAGTATAAAATAAACAGCCAGGATCACATACTAACAAAAATAAATGCTCAAATAAATAAATAGGAGAAACAAACTTGTAAGAAAAATTCTAAATTATATAACTATTTTCCCCTCCTCTTGAGAGTGGGCTAGAGTTACAGATTCACTTCCAAAGAACAAGTATGGAAAGTGGAAAAATAGCAACTCGACAGTGGACAAAGCAGGAGGCACCTTAAACCAGAGGAGGACCAGCGCCCACAACGCTGCTGACATCACGCGCCTTGGGAGGCGCCCCACGATGTGCTACCCTAGGGAAGGGCACGCCACACCCGGGGCTATTCTTCCTTGCAGAGCATCAGCTCAAGTCCAATCACCAGAAAACATCAGACAAGCCCACACGGAGGGACATCCTTCAGAATAACTGAGATGTACGCTTCACAGTGTCAAGGTCATGGAAGACCGAGAAGCGGTCACAGACTGGAGGAAACTAAAGAGGCATAGCGATTAAATAAACGCAACGTGGTATCCCAGACTGAACCCCGGAACCGGAGGAGAATGTTGGTGGAAAAAGGGAGAAAACCAAGTCAAGCCTGCAGTTTAGTGAACGGCGACGCACCAGTGTTGGCTGCTGAGTTCCGACAGGCATGCCACTGCTCACATACGCTGTCACCACGCGGGGAGGCCCAGGGAAGGGCTCGGGGAACATCTCTCGACTGCACCGCATGGCGTACTTCAAATTCAGAAAGGAACTTACAGAAGATTATACGCATTTTCTCAGTAACTTGATCAACACCACAGTTTATTTGTAAACATATTATGAGTCAATAATCAAATTGACAACACTTTATACATTTCATTGTATAATATTAACATCATACCAGAAAACAATCCACTGTACTTAGTTACAGTTTTGGTATTTTAAAGTCTTTAAATACAAATGTATTTGAAACACTGAACATAAAAGAGGAAGATGAATGGTGGAGGAAACTGAAACATCAAATAAAAGAAACTAAAACTGAAAAAAATACAAACTCACCTGATTAACATATTTAAAGAGAAGGAAATCAGATGATAATTTTTTTAATGACAAAGTCACAGTTCTTTAGGCTCATGTGAGAGTGAAACTATCTCACTAAAGTCTAATCCATGTTCTTTTTGATATCTTTCTTCTCTTGGTTTCTAAGGAATGGCTGTTTGCTACGGTTTAAGCTACATTAAGGGGAAAAAGAAATGAAAGGTAGCAAAAGTTAATGAAATTAAACATCTGCAGAAAAATTAGATGAGAACTATTTCACACATCATCTTTGGCAAATAATAAAGGCTATGTTTTAAGTTTACTTTTTTGTTGAAACGGATCAACACTGACACAGGATTTAAGAGACGCATCTTTACATGAGTTGACGTATGAAAGGAACAAAGCCGGATTCACAAACAAAGCACAAAGCAGCCTTCGGATCTGGCTGAGCGCCCTACACACGCAGGCGGCCTGACCCTCCTTAATCGTGGGGGTCCTCGGCGGGACTCGGCAGCTTTCCTCATCCACAAGAGAAACCAGAGCCGGCCGCAGGCTTCGTCAGTACTTTCTCTAAAATCCATGATCATTACTAGATTCTTTTTCTTCCTCCATCATCTCTCAAGGACAGTGCAGCAGCAAATCACATCCACATTTAAGTTTTAAATTCACCAGCCACTGGGTTCACTGCCAATAGCTACCAATGTCTGATACATCATTAGTGTATATGTCATTACAGGAAGCTGAGATCGGTGATGCGGGAATAAATAAAATGACCGGTTAATTCAAACAAAGCAAATGAGAATGAGATTAAAGAGCCCTGATCAAATAAAATGCAGCTTCCAGCTGAAAATCTGTAAAAGTCACATACATACCTAATAGCACTAGGAATGTACAATTTCAATTATTGGAAAAATAAGTGAGTGATTCACAGTCATAGAAATTATTTTAATATTAGTATGTATTTTTCCTTTTATAGACAAACATTTATAACATACACTGGTTTCTACCACACACGAGAGAAAGCAGAAGACTGAACGCTGACTGCCGTTCCCTCAAACACAGCAGTGCCTGCACCCCAGGCCCCCCGCTCCGGACACGCAGCTGTGCAGGCAGGGCGTGATGCTGCGCGCACGGCTGTGTTAACAGTTCCTAAAAAGGCATATATCCCCAGAAGTGTGTTAAAATCCACAAATATCAGCTCTATAAATAACAAAAACTATCAGCAAAAAAATGTTTAGGTTTAACATTCCCAAAGTTTCTAATGCTTTAAGTGTTTTAGATATAAGTTGTTCGACCAGTTAGTTTGGTTACAGCTTTAAGCTAGCAAACCATTACCCTATGAGAACAGCTAAACTAATCTATAACACTGCACACACTTCCCAAGGTAACTTGAAAAATCTTAAAAGTGATTCCAATTATGCTAATTCACATTTGAGACACTAAAAGAATCAATAACTCAAGCAACATTTTGAAATTACTCATTTTTTTCTGTATCATTTCCTCCTGAACTATTCAACATAAATTTAAGGTCCAAATTGCCTAAGAATATGTCTTCAAAGTAGGCTTTTCACTAAAGTATTTTGATCAGAAGACATAGCCTTATTGTTATATAATTCTAATCTAAAATCGCAAACCTTGGTTAGAGACTATCAAATTCAATTTCATACCAATTAATTGGTAAAATTAACGAAACAAAAAATAAATCACAGTGAAAATATGCAGCAGCCACAGCTACGAGAATGGAAAATAAATTCTATTTATCCAGAAAGACTCTATCAAAATATAAAGCCCAAAGTGAGAGATGACAGAAGTCCACATATAAACATTGTTTAAAAATAGAATGTTTTCCAAAGCTTCTCGTGAGACGCCAATGCAGAGCCAGAGTGAGGTCCTTACAAATGAAGGTGAACTTGTGCATGACTGTGCTGATTCACCCTCCGGCAAGGTCCACCGTACGCACACTTTACAGCCTCGGGGACCCTCAACACCCCATCACGTCATCCCTCATGTTGGCTGTTCACTGTCTTACAGTTTTGCTACTTTAAATACCAAGAAGCCTTTGAAAAGGAAGAGTTCCACCTCTTCCCAAGATCCCCTAAAGAGTAGGTAACAAAATATAAAATAAACAAGATTATGTTCGATAAACTAACATACAAAATTACCGTTGCAATATTCATAGTGACTGCTTATAAACATAACAGTCATCATAAAGCCTATAAAGTATATCCTCAGTTTTATAAAAGAAATGTCGATTGTCTCAGGGTAAAAAATACAGTGCAGGCTGCTAAAAAGCTTTTCGTTGCGTTAGGAGATGCAATGATGAGGAACACTTGAGAAAGCATGAATGTGTCCTCGGAACTCTGACACCACGGAAGCAGAATCGCACTGCAGCAGCAGATGCTTTTCAGTGGCTGGCACTACGAAGCTAACGTTGAGAAAGAAAAAAGGCAGGAAGTGTGAGCAACAGACGGTGTGACCAGATCACTGCAAATGGAGATTAGCAATACGCAACGAGGAAGGTGACCGTCCACTCCATTCTGACAAGGTGCCGTCTTGAAAAATTAAGTTCTTGGCGGGAAGTGGAACTCCCAAATCGGCGTAGGATGACTGGGGGAGCAAGCTTGGGAAGCTGGCCTCTGCGTGGATGTCCAGCGTTGAAGCACCTTCCTAAAAGGTCAAGAAAGGAGAGAAAGTCTGCTTAACACCGGACCAACCACTCAGCATGGCTGATAAGAAAAACAGACCCCAGCTACCCAAGAAATGTTTATGGAATGCAAAGCCCTAAAGGAGATTGCAAAGACCTACCTCACAAAACCAAAGTAACTAATGATGGGTATTAACATATGCAAAAATGACTAATACAAGTTCGACTACGATAAGAACTTTGATATGGACAGAAACAACAGCCTATGAGATACGGGATTAAAAAAGTGAGTTCTCAGACCATCTCTGAAAGCCTCACAGAGCACTAGGCACCGAAACGAGCCGTCCGCTCCCAGGGTTCTCGAACTCAGGTGTTCCTCGCAGCCCTCTCCCCAGAACTCCGGGCTCAAACATGCACCCGGCGTTCGTTCACGGACGTGGCACACACATTCCACACTTTCCACGTCCCAACTGAACTCTCAGATCTCCCCCTGTTCCTCCCCAGAGTTCCCCTCTCTCCGCACCAAGCTGGTCAGAAATGTGAGACTCGCTCATTCTTCTCCTTGTTGCCACATCCTCACCTGTTCCTCACCTTTAACTAACCACCAGGGGCCTGTCGATCTACCGCCAACACAGATCCAAGTCAGTTTACCTCACTCACTCGCCACAGCCACCACCGCAGTAGGCCAGGGCCCCCCAAAGTGAGGCACTCCCCCCAAAGCGGGTATGGTGCTTTGAAATTTTAGAAAGCTTGTATCTATTTACTGCACCCTTTAAACATTTCTAGTTGTGTGTGTGTTCTATTATACAATTTATTGGCATGATGGTATATGTGTGTAGTCAACAGACTTTATTATGGACACGTGCAACATTGCTTTGTTTTGTTTTAATGAAAAAGGGAGCTCGGTTCACCAATGTCTCTCACTTGGACTATTACACCAGTCTCCAAACTGATCTTACTTCCATGCTTGTTCATTTTTAATCCATTCTCTAAACAGTACCTAATCTTTTAAAACTGCTAGTCAGAAGTAATATCATTATGCTTAAAATTTTTTAATAGTTCTCTCTGCGCTCAGCATAAACTACAGATTCTTTGACATCCTCTAGAAGGCCCTCCCCGCCCCCGCGCCACGATCCTCTTTCCCGAGGCTTCTGCCACACGGGGCTTCTGTTCCCTGTACACTTGGTGCTTTCCTGACACAAGACCTCTGTACCTGCTAAGCTCTGCCTAGAATACTTTTTTCCATCCTTTGGGTTCCAGATTATATATCACCTATTTAAAATAGGTCTGCCTTTGGATTCCATCAGACTTGAAGGAGTCTGGCTCCTTCCAAGTACTTACTGAAATCTGTGATCGCTCACGTGTTTCGGCGTTTACTTGACTAGTGTCTCTTACAACACTCTAAGCTCTATGAGTGTCTTAGACATCACTGTTTCCCCAGCCCCTGGTAAAGGGTCTGGCATAGCATAGATGCAAGGATTTATTGAAAGAATAACTGAAACAAAACTCCAAAGTATGATTACATAGTGTTGGATCAGATATTCTGAGCAAATATTCCATCCCAGAAGTTTATCTTCAAATCAAGTCTAGGGTGTCGGGTCACTCCCCTGAGCGGGGAGGGGAGGGCTGGGGGTAGGAGGACACGGGGTACGGAAGGTCGAGAGCACTGGCTTCCACCACTGCGCACAATGAAGACGCACTGCAGGTCTTAAGGGGTCCAGACTCATGAACCAGTGCCCGTGTGATGCCCGGCCTGTAACCGACGCCTAGCACACTGGCGCACAGAACGGAGTCCGAGCTCGGCCCTCCAGAGCTGGCCCACCACACAAGGTGCAAGCCCACTAGTGTCCTGAATCCCAGTGTCTTCCTTTATGAACTTAAATTAATGCTTATCTCCTGTCTCACTGCTACGAAGACTCAAAACAAACATGGGAGTGTTTTGCATAAAAAGCTCTATACGAACACCATTTAGATCTTTAGGTTGTTGTTACCTGGAATGAGTGAACAAAGTTAAGGACGTGCAGAGCGAGTTTTCGACTGGAATGTAAGAGGTTCTGAAGGCTGAAAAAAAGGGTGGAGGAAGTTAGAACAAATATAATGACAAGGACTCATATCCAACAAGTTTAATTTTAGTAATTTAAATGCAGTTATATGTGCACACATATCATGATTAACACATTAAAATTTTAAAGAAATAATTTCAATGGATCTCACCAATGAAATTTCTCCTTTTACTATTAAGGCCTAACAGTACAAAAAGACCATTTTGAAGTAAAACATCATATATAACTAAAATTAAAATTTACTGCTAAAAAAGCTTAAACTGTTAGCAAATATAAATGTTAATTCAAACCTTTTTAATTAAAAATATATGCACTTTGAAACATAGCAATTATGAAGTCTGGCAGATTTAACATAATATCAACCCATGAAATTAAATACTTTTCAAATATGTAAATAAGTAATAATTGAAGAAAATTTCAAAAACCAGTCATAATTCCACCACAAGACATAGTCACTATTAACATAACTTGAGTGGGCATGTTAAGAGTAGAAGTGCCCCCCCAAATTCTCCACAGACATTTATATATTTTAAAAAACTAGGTTCACACCCTCATATAAGCATTCCCAGCTCACCATACCCTCGCCAAATCTGGGTAACTCAGTGAATACAACTATAGTGAACCGAAACGTGCCCAAAATGTTCCCATGTGCCTAATTTCTGAGGTACCAAAGTCATTTTGAAAATATAGCAAAACCCTTAAACTAGCAAATTTTATATTCAATTGACACATATAGATGATTACTATGTTCATGTGTGAAGTAAAAGAAAGATCACAACTGTTGCTAACTTAAAAGTCGTAGATGAAAATATGACAATGAATACAAACCCTCACCTCTCTTTCCTGCAAAGGCCATGGGTGGCAATTTTTCTACAAACTTTCCGGTTTAATTCGGAGCTAAACAGCGGAATTCCAAAGCACAGCTCAAGAGGGACCCAGTCTGCTTCCACTGTGGCAACTGCAAAAGACACGAACTCATTAATCGCATCTACTTTGCACATCATGACTGGCCAGGGTTTCTGAGCCCAAGTCCAGGCATCTTCACCGGTTCCTCCCACCACCGAGCAGACTCGGTGGGCGGGGCTGTCCGAGAGTCTCTGAAACAAAGGCGTTTTCTGAGTATGTACACGCTGCTGGGGAGAAGGTACTGCTCTCACCAGATGCTCAAAGTGGTCTTTTACCCAAATTGCAAGATACCTACAATATCAGAGGAATTAATCAAAATTTTAACAGGAAAAAAGAAACCTGTCATTATTCTCAGGTCATATATTTTTTTTTTTACTTAAAAGATTTTATTTATTTTTATTTATTTTTAATATTTTATTTATTTATTTCTCGAGAGAGGGGAAGGGAAGGAGAAAGAGTGGGAGAGAAACATCAATGTATGGTTGCCTCTCATGGGTCCCCTGCTGGGAACTGGCCTGCAACCCAGGCATGTGCCCTGACGGAGAATTGAACTACGATACTCTGGTTCACAGGCCCGCGCTCAAGCCACTGAGCTACGCCAGCCAGGGCTCAGGTCATATTTTTTTGTTATTGTTCTACATAAAAGTGTTTCCTAGAAAATTAAAAGGTTCATTATGGATCATAACAGCAGACTAATGACTTAGCAAAAGAGTTAAACCTTAGAAATTAGTCTAAGATGCAAATAATTCTTAAAACCTTACCAGAATTTTGCTTAGTTGCTGAATCTAAAGTTGCTTCCTCAATGACCATTTCAAATGACTCTGTGCTTCCATTTACATCCGAGCCAGAAGCCAGATCAGGTTCACCTTATAATTTGAGGACAAGCACAACATTAAGATTCTGGTAGTTGGTTTAAGTTGTCAATAAATCAGTACTAGCACAGAAGAGGATTCGGGTGATAGAAATGGCAATAGGAAACAATAAATAGTCCTTAGCTTTACAGCAGTGGTTCTCAACCAGGGGGCAGTTTTGTCCCCCAAGAGGCATTAGGCGATGCTTGGAGACAGGTCTGCTTGTCTTGAACGGGAACAGGGATGCTACTGATACCTAGAGATGCCACCATGCACAGGACAGCCCCACAGCAAAGCTCAAAACATACCCAGCGCTGAGGCTGTCCAACCCTAGCCTAAAGAAATAAGAATTCGAAAGGCAGACGAGAAGTTTACGCTTTCAGAGGGATCATTACTAAAACCCTTCCTGTCCCCATGGAAATGTGCAGTCTGATCACCCCATTCCTCTTCAAAACTTTCTGACTTCCCATATCTTTCAGCACATAAGATGCTCCTGGATCTCACCCACTCTCCACTCTCATCTTCGGCTGCTGCCCAGTAAATCCTTCCTTTGGGCCAACACAAGCTGCTCCAGGCCCTGATTTCCTCTATCTGAAAGGCTGCTATCCTCCAAAGAAACAACAATCATCTTTTGTGCAGGTAACGCCTCCGTTCTCAGCTGAGATGTCACGCTCTCTGAGAGGCCTGCTCCGACAGCTCCGCGGGGCTGCGGTTTGCCTTCCCCGTCCTAGGCGGCGCTGTAGGCCGTCAGAACGGACCCCGTCGCAGTCTGGTAACGCTGCCTGGTAGGCAGGTTCACTTGCTTGTCTCCCTGTCCAGGGCACTGCTCCCTAGCTCTTACAAATTTAAACGTCTGCGGTGCCCACGCAGATATTCCATAAATGTCTGTGGAATGAACAAAACACGGCAGCTGCAGCAGACAAGCCTTGCGATGACTGCCTGACCCACGGCCAACTTCTCTGGAAAAGGCCCCCGTGACACCTGCCAGTCAGCTGTTGAAAATTACCTATCACACAACAATAGATACAAAAACCTGTTCTTAAAAAGAAGAAAGGTATCCAAATTTTCCGACCAAAGGTAAACAGACCAGGAATGAATGCCTAGCTCAAAGAGAGCCAATCCAATCCACTGGATGGCTAGCAATAAATATTTCTCGGGAATTCAAACTGAGAGGCTCAAGGAACAGAGTCCACTGATGACAGACTACTGAACTGGAGGGTTTCCTAGACTCATGGACCAGAGCCGGCGCCACGGCAACCACAGTCACACACAGCCAAAATTATGCCACGGCAGAAACAATGAGTAAGCATGAAAAGGTGACTGGGAAATAAAATTTCAAACTAAAAAGAAAGAAAAAGATAGCTAAGGAAAATTAGCTAGATAGAAAGGAAAAATATGCAGGAGAGACTGGAGATGGACAGGAGGTGGCAGCCAGGAAGGCTGAGCAGACAGAGCCAGGACACGGAGCAGACGGAGCTTCGGAGAAGCTGCTGGAAAGGCGAGGAGGGGAGAACGGACGGGAGAGGCACTTCCGAACCAGGGACAGCGGACAGCGCGGGAAAGGAGAGGGACGACACAGGGACAGGACGGGCACTGACACAAAGGCCTTTGAAAGAAAGGAAAAGGCTGAAAGAAGAACTGTCCATCCTATTTTGGAAACATCTTTACAAAGAGACCAGAGTTTTGAGGCCACCACCCCACAGAGGAACCCAATTTAAAATAAATCCAGAGAGGACAGTAGAGGGCTAACGTCGCATGGACGTCTGCGTCCCCACCCCAGGATGTCGCTTCTTCGGTTGCGCACTCAGTGTTCTCTCCATCCGAACAACTGGTACTTGTCCAAATGATGTCACGGAATATTTTCACACTTCAGTGAAAACACATTAAGTATTAAACAGTTCAACATCCCTGCAAAGCTCTCTCTTAAATACTAAGATTGTGATCAACTCAATACCAATTATTTTCACTCAAAGAACCCAGCTGTCGGCTAACCTCTCTCGTCAGAAGCGTCACTGAGTTTCCTGTTCGCGAGGCGGCTCGAAGCGTTCAGCATGGTGATATAGCCACAGAAGTGCTGCACGTCCACTCTGTTCCTTAACATCTGCAATGCTTTGTGCACACCCATATTGGCACGAGTAAACTCTAAGAACAAAGAGTGACATCAAATTATAAGTGACCACAATTCTTAAACTACTTTCATATTTTAATCTATCAAGACTGATTCCAGTGGAACAGCCTCTGTGAACATAAAGGGTGCTACACACACAGAACACATGTACAGCCTCCAGGGGGCATCTGTTGTGTCAGAACGAATTACCTGCTAAGTAAGCAAATACAGCCAGTTAGGGGCAAATTCTCTAGTCTTCTCTTTGTGGTTCTATTCTGCCTCAAATCCTTCTTTGGTGGGCTTCTACCAAGAAGTTTATTAAATACACTTACTCTTTAAACATTTAAGAAAAATAAAATTACTCTTATTGAACATAAAGCTTATATACTTGAAATTATATCCCTAATAAATATTAGCTCAAGTTCTTAAAATATGTGAACTCAGAAAAGAGGAAGATGTTGTATATGCAAATACGGAGATCTCTCTTTTTTATAACTCACACCGTGATCTCCCAAGGCAGATCTACCAATGAGTCTTTGACCTTTTATAGATTTTGAGACCCTACTATCACTCTGTATCTTTAGCTGAACAATCTTTTCCCCACAGAACTTACAGAGTATCTATCAGAGAATTAAACAGCAAAGTTTAGTTGCAGGCAAGTACTCATGTCTGAAAAGTGGCCATTTTTTGGAAGGGAAGTCTCTTCTCTCAATTGTGTACACATTTACTCCCAACAGCAAAGGAAAACACTCGATTTCGAATGTGAGGCTCCTGCAGTTCAGCCACGTGAAAAGGAAAAAGAGGTCTACAAAAATCCTCTGCCCTCCCCCACTTTGGGGGTGGGGCGGTGGTAGTGAACATTTTGAAAGAACAGTAAGTTTTTATATAAATTGACATAGGCTGAATCTCTCAAACCATTCCCAGCTCCTTTGAAATCCAAGCACAAGTGCTACAACATAAAGATATATTAGACTTTAATGACAGTAGTGTTCTTTTGGATACATGTTTTCTTGGTATTCAACAGAGAAAAGGTATCTTCTATATTCGACAAAAGACTGAATTCGTTTTCACAGAAATTCTCTGCCTCTCTATCAAATACTATACTGTACATCCAATTCTAGAAAGAGGTAACATTGCACAGGACTGTTCCTCCCTTGATTCTAACCAGCTTAATTTAGCTCCAACTGCAACCCACTCAAGTCCTCTCAAACGGCAAAAATAGAAGTAAAAAAAAAGTGACACAAGAAACCCACAGCAGTGCTGTCAGCTGTGAAGCAGGTCACAGACGTTCGTCAGCACCCACTTCTACGGAACTAAAACAGCCCCTGAAAGAAAACCGCTGTGTAACATTGTGGGGGAAACACTCAACTTTCTAAGCATAAAATCTTCCCAATAACTTGCTTTAAATAAATCAACAGTAAAAGGAAACTAAAAGACTAAACATACAGAAAACCTAGTCTTCCATCCAGGCAGACACCTACTTACCTCTTCCTCTCCAAAACAGACTAGTATTCCTTCAAAGGTCCTACGTGGGTCTCATTCTATTAACTCTTTGTGGGAAAAGGCACGTGACATAAAATTACTTTTCCAATACTCTTTAAAACAGAATGTAAGTGGATCCTAGAACTGCCAAAGTTTAAGCGTTCATCTCCTGCTGCATGTGTCACCGAATTGGTGACAAAGATTAACAATAAAGAAGTCAAATGGACACAAATCAGAAGTGAGGTACCTCCTTGAAGTTCTGTGTCGTCAAATGGAAACGGGATGTGGACAGTCTCCCCTGTCCCGTGCACACCATGTCCCTAAACACAAAGAAATACAAGTTCACAGGGATGTAAAGAACCTACATTCGCAGCAACAGATATTCAAACACTAAATTAAGACTGTGCCCTGAGGTGGTATACTCCACATTAGTACCCCATCCAAGTGCTTTCAACAATGTTCTGTTTTCTCCGGCAGGCAGAGACAATCTCACGTACGTATGAACCTGTAAGGCGATGGGTCTCAAATTGAGTGTATGGGTTAAATTTTGAAAAGGAGGCTAATTTAGCAGGTAAATCACGTGCGAGCCAAGGACACGGAATGAGATCAAGTGCACTGGTTCTGAAACAAAAGTGGTGCAAGATCCCCATAATCCCCTGGCATAGAATGCATGACCTGGAGTGTGAAACTCAAAACGCTGAATGACATTCAAAATTACTTGTTGCAATATTATAATTAATTATATACAGTTGGAAGCATACAAAATGCCTGTCAACAGGGGGCTGATTAAATAAATTCATGAATGTATTTTCAGCTGCCAAAAGAAAAGACAGCGCAGCTCTCTAAAGACGGAAGTGGAAAGCTCTCCGGTGGCTCAGTGGGAAAAGCGTGGAGTGTGTCCGAGGGCAAGTGCCCGCACACGCGGAAAGAGCCCCAGGAGCCACGGCAGGAACTGACGGCGGTGGCAATCCGACTCGGAGAGAAACGGGGTTAGATGAGCCGCGGTACTTTTCTCTGTGCATCTTGCAACAGCGTTTCATTTCTGAACAGTGTGACTACACTATCAATTCAAAAATGAAGTTTAAAAAATATCAAGTATAACACCTCACTCCAATTTATAAATAATAATTTAGTTTCATCCACTACAATCAATTCATGTTCATCTGAATTTTGCTAATTTTAAAGTTTTTTAAAATTTAATCTCTAAATTTCATTTCACAATTATGCAAGGATAGTAAGCATAAAGAATTTAATGTTATGTTTATGTGTAGTTCATTATAACAGAAAATTTAAGTTAACACTGGAGAACCATACTTTTCCCCTTTGAAAAAGACCCATACATCGTTCAAATTCTAGATACTGTGATGTAAAAAACAGTAATTTCAGAGAAAAATCGCTCATTAGTTCACATAATAACTTGAATGTTTACGCTGCTTCTATTTCATTGATACACTTATGATTTAAACACTTTTATAATAAAAGCATGGTTTTAATCAAAATCTTAGTTTTGTTGTTTTAGTTCCAGTGAGATAATTTTCCATAGAATTTAATAAAGGAGACCCTCTCTTTTTAGCAAAAGCAAAACTCCTTAACAAACACTTAAACACTCTCTCTCCCTACATCTATTCCCATGATGAGCAGAGCTAAGATTTTTTGAGATCTTATGTGCTAACCACAGGGCTAAGCATTTTATGTACATTTTCCATCTCATTCTTTTCAGCAACCGTATAAAAAAACTTTAATCATCTGCATTTTGCAGGTGAAGGCACTAAAGTTCAAGGAGGTCATCTAACCTGCCCAAGATTACTAAGTGGTGGAATCAAGGTGGGAACTTAGGCAGTCTGACTTGAGCCCGTGTCTAACCCATTCATTCCATTTTGGTATCACCCACCGCTGCTCCTACTCCACGCTTTCCCTGGGGGCTAATGCGCCCACCCTCATGGTTCCGTCTACCACCTACGTGCTGATGCTGACCCTCGAATCAATCCCTCCTGTTGGAGCTCTCATCAGAATTTCACAATATTTTCAATCACCCAGACATCGCTACCACTCCAACGGCCCCCAGACGCCTGTGCTCCGCCCCCCCGTCTGCGACACAGTGGCACTCAGCACTCAACAGGAAGGCGACAGTAAAAAAGAGCTGGTCAGTGCCTAGTGCTGGTGGGAATGCAAAATGATGCACTCACTCTGGAAAACAGCCGGGAAGTTCCTCAAACAATTAAACAGTTATCATCTGACCTAGCTTTTCCACTCATAGCCAAATATCCAAAAAATTGACAACATGTTCACATAAAAACTTGTATATGAATGTTTATCATGGTGATTATTATTATTCATAATAGCCAAAAGGTGGAAACAACCCAAATATCCATCAATGATAGATGGACAAACAAAATGTGGTGTATTCATTGAATTCATACTATTTATTTGGCCATAAAAAGGAATGCAGTACTGATATATGCTAAAACATGATGAACCATAAAAACATTGTAAGTAAAAGAGGTCCATCACAAAAGACCACATATTATATAATTTCATGTACATGTAATGCCCAGAACAGGCAGTGTAAAGAGAGAGCAAGTATCAGTATTGCTTAGGGCTGGGGGGCTGGGAGAACAGGGGAGTAAGAACTGAAGGAGGAGGGTTTGTTTCTTTCTGAGTGATAGAAATGTTCCAAAATCGGGCACGGCGATGGCCGGGTCTCTGCAACTACAGCGGTCTGCCCAACCAGGGAGGAAACAGTCCAAGACCACCAGTGGATGCCTGAAACCAAGGAGAACGCCAAACCTGACATACGAGGTCTGACTGGAAAAAGTCCAGCCACTGTTAACATACCAAGAACGGTTTGCATGACATCCATGTAGCCTGCCAGCCAAGGAGAGCAGAGTAGAATGCGCATGTGTGAACAATGATGACTTCATTGTACTATTCAGTGGGGGTGGTAGACGGCACTGAGCCAACATGTGTGCTGTGTGGCCGTCACATTCAAAATGACTGAGCAAGTAGAGCAACGAATCTGTGTCAAATTTTGTGTTAAGCTTGAACATTCCTCTGCAGAAACTAATCGGATGATTTGGAAGGCCGTAGCCATGGGCAACTGGTGATTGGCAGCTTCATCATGACAACATGCCCACTCAGGCATCATGTCTTGTGCAGAGTTTTTCTGGTGAAACATCAAATCACCCAGGTAACTCAGCCTCTCTACAGCTCAGATTTGCTGCCCTGCAACTTCTGGCTTTTCCCAAACCTAAAATCACCTTTAAAAGGGAAGAGATTTTAGACCATCAAAGGGATTCAGGAAAATATGACGGGGCAGCTGATGGCGACTGGGAGGACTGTGTGAGGTCCCAAGGTGCCTACTTTGAAGGGGACTGAGGTGTCATTGTTCTATGTACAATGCTTCTTGTATCTTCTTCAATAAATGCCTATTTTCCACAGTAAATGGCTGGATACTTTTGAGATAAACTGTTTTCCCCCTAAACACACATACCTATGATGTAGTTTAATTTATAAATTAGTCCCAGTAAGAAATTAACAATAATAACTAATAATAAAACAGGACAATTATAACCACATAGTGTGACAAGAGTTAGATGAATGTTCTCTCCACCGGCGCCCACCCACTACAACCAAGACGGCTACCCGGCGACTAACAGGCAGGTGGAGGGCATGGACAAGTGTGGGCGCGCTGGACAGGGGCCCTCCACACCCCATGAGGGCGCAGCGGGACAGCTGGAGATTTCATTAGGCTACTCAGAATGGTGTGCGATTTAAATCCATAAATTATTTCTGGAGTCTTCCATTTAACATTTTCAGGCCATGGTGGGCCGTGAGCGACTAAAAGCGCAGAAAGTGAAAACATGAATGCGGGGACCTGTACTAAAGACGTAACTGTGCAGTGAAAACTGGTGAGCTGTATGCTGCATGAACTATGTCAATGAAGCTCCTTTGAGAAGAAAAGACAGCCCCAGGGGTCACGGAAGGGGAGGCGGGAAGCTGAGGTCCGCGCCGCTCCCGCCACTCCCACGCTGCAGACAAAAAGGCCACGGCTGAAGCCCAGGTCCAGCTACTTGTATTTCAGCTTCACGCATTTCAAATTACTGACATCCAACTGCAGTGCAGCAGAACAACGTACAAACTACAAGTTTTACACTAAAAACCCAAAATGGGCTGTTTCAAATGAAGTAACTGTACCTGAATCAAAACCGCCGAATGCGTTAAAGCGTCATTCAACATCGTGAGCACGTTTGATGTAGGCACCACCCCAGGGTCGTGGCCCCAGGACGTTATTAGTAACCGATCATAACCCTGTGGGAAAGAAATGAATGAAAGACAAAATGGAATTTAGAAATGCAGGGGGGAAATTAAGAAAGTGATCTCTAAAACCGCTTACCAATTTTTACTCTACTCAAAAATAGTGAAAACAAACAAATCTCATACAACATACCTGGAATATATCCGGCAGTTTTCGGAGTCTTGTACCTTTGGACAGTAAAAGAGATGGTGGTCCCTGCCCAGTGATGTGATAAATGTACAGTTTAAACCAGACAGAACTGACTTCTGGGATAGCTGGTCCAATATGCTGTAATCAGAAAGCAGGTAAGGCAAAAGCGGTAACACTTAATCTAAGGAACTCAAATTTCACAAGCTGACTAACTACTGTCTTAATAACAACTAATGCTGCATACAAATGTTAATTGCTATCATCCTTATGAAAATAACTTTTAAATGCTCTGTCCAAACAGTTTCAGTTTTATGCTGTAGCTGAGTGAGGACATCTTATCACTGCAGTTAAGAGAATGGACTCTGAAGTGGACCACCAAGGGCTGAATCCCCTCAGCTGTATGACCTTCAAATAGGTTACCTAAGTGCTCTGAGCCCTCCTTTTGCTCTTTTGTAAGAAAACAATAAAATATCTACCTTATACAGATGTTGTCGGGTTATTTGAAAAATTTTAAAATAGTACCCAGTATATAGTAAGCTCTGTATCAAAGTGTTCATTTATTATTATTATTAATCGCGTGCAATTTCTCCCAAAAGGGACTCCCCTCCCATTCACTTACACTTCACGCATTCCTACTATGCCTAGAAGTTGTGTTAAAGAATAGGAGGAAGTGCGAAGTGGGTGGGATTGGAGGGGGCACACGGAGAATTACAGAGAGAGGTTGGTGAAGGCAAACCTACAACCACCGTCCAGCTGAACAGAGGACAGATGTGGGGAGGGTGTGCTTGCTAAGGCAGTGAGATGGGCACAAGCAACAAAATCAGCCTTGCACAAGAATCCCTTCCTTTCCTCTGCACCATTAACCCTTGCACACCTAGGAAACCAGGCAGGATGTAGCACTGCAATAGAGCAACATAACTCATACCCTGAAAATGGTGCAAACCACCATGTGCCTGCTAAGTAAAGACCAGAAGTCATTTCACAAGTAAATTTTAAAGATAACCAGAGTTCTACCTTTCCAGTACTATCTTTTCTTTTCAGTTTATTTAGTATCTCAGCCCCATTTCTAAAACGTTTCATTTTTCCTGATTAAACTAATCTTATCCCTCAAGGCAATCCAGACTCCCTTCTTAGAGCACCCAAAAACGTTCTCTTTAAAAGACTGCATTCAAGAAGAAAATTTTAGTCTACTGTGTCACAAGGCACTGCGTGATATACAAATAAAATGTACCAATGATACCTCACAAATTGAACATAACATCTTACAACAGCATAAAACACAAAACTGCTTTGTGAGCCAGTGACCGGAACACAGTGTCTGCAAATGAGAATCGACCCCACGGGACAGTTAGAGCTCTTCTTCAAACCGCCACCGGGAAGCGTGAAGTGGGGGGGCAGCAGCCCTCGTCCCCGCGGTCTTTACCTGAGGGGTGCAGCTGCTGACAGGCCGGATTTCATTGGTGAGAGGAGCCATGGAAACGAGCAGTGTGTAATTCTTGTTTAGAACTCTGCTGCAAGTCGCAGGGTCCAAACCAAGAAGGCTTTCACAGCGCAAGAGATCCAGAGGAAAACCTGAATGATGACCAAGCACACACAGGGAATGAAAGACTGGCACTATGAAGCAAAAACGTCCAAAACAAAATACTGATTATCTACCTAAGATTACAAAATAATTTTTTAAGATGGAATATTGAAAAAGCTAAATTTCCTCAGGGACCACTAAGATACTTTTAAGGTTTAGAGCTAACAGTCTTTATTCCTGGTCTAAAAAAGATAACTGTCTCCTGGTATTCCATTAGGCTCCCTTTCACTTGTAGAAAGTGCCCGCTTCACCTGCCTTCCTGTCCAGCCCAGCCACTCCAGGGCAGCGGCAAACGAGGAGCGCCCGGGGGCCACAGGGGAGCTGCGGGCTTCCCTCCCCCTCGTCCAGTCTCTACAAAGAGCAGCACAGCCAGGTTCCGAGTTCGACAAGAGTTCCCTGCGGCTGGTCCATGAAGAACGGGTTTACTCAGTATGTACCAGATGTGAAGGGTGCCAGTGTGTAACCCGCAAGCAAGATGCAGCTAAAACAATGCATGGCCTGCTGAAAAAGCTCAGAAGCCTTGAGTGCAACGAGGGCCGGATTCTTCATGTAACACCTTCCGTAAGAGGAAAGGCTGATTCGGGGCCGGGCAGAAGTACAAGATAAGATTATTTTGCCAGAAAGTAAAATACCTCTCAAAAAAAATTTTTTTAAGGTGGAGGCATGGCACAAGGAGACAGGAGCCAGTGTGAAGGAAATCCCACTGGGAAAATCTGAGACACCTGCATCACAAAATGATTCAGATAATGAGTCATTCAAATAATGACTAATCCATACTAAGAATATAAAAGAATGCCTAGTCCCAACTGTCAAAAGTGGAAAAACTGTCAGAGTTAGAAAAACAATGAAAGGACAGTCCAGGCAACAATCAGTCCTGGATGCCGAATCTGGAAGAAACACGGATGACGTCCAGGTATCTGCATCACCGTCAAGTATCTGCCCACGGACTGCCCACTAGCTGCAGGGTGGGATGGGGGGAGAGTTAAGTGAACAGCACAGAAATCAGAAAACACGTTCACCGTGCGATCAAAATTAACGTCACCATAGGCGGCAGGTGGAAATCACGTGCCTCCAGATGTCACTCCCTTAGAAGGACACATTACTTACCCAAAATTCTAGACACGAACGCACAACCCAAATCTGACCACAAGGTAACACCACACACACCCAAAGTGAGAAACTTTCAGTAAGACCAACAAAAAGATACTATATTCTCAAAAAAAAATCATAAAAGACAAGAAAGAAGGTTGTGAATTCGAAAGAATATGTGAGATTAAATGTTACAGGGGTGCTAAGAATTCGAAGTCCTGAGACGTGACATTCGCCAACGTCCAGGACTTGAGCCAAACGCTCCTACATGGGTGCCTGGGTCATGCACCTCTGCAAGACACGCATTCCTGGGTGCCTGCCGCCCACGGCTCAGGACCCACCACCCGGAACCTGAGCTCTGACTCCCTCAGCTCAACTCCACTTTGGGAACTCCGGTCTGTCACAAAACTGAGACTGCACCCCAAGGCAACAGCCACCCCGCTGGGGTTCACCAACCGACTAAGATCGCTACTTTCTTTTACTCTTTAAAAAGAGGTTACTGTTCTCTTGCTTAGTTTTTAAAGTAAAATACTTTAGTCAATAAATATTCCAGCAGTATCTGAATAGAAAACCCTTGTTTATTATTTTTATACAATGGGATCTTTTATTTTTGAAATTGTATGCTTCCTACATTAATTTTGGCATCTGTTCACCCCTCAGAAGAGATGCCTGTTCTAAATTCCATCCAGCTACTTAAACAGATTAACACTCCAATCATTTTTACAGGTACTAATAAGATTTAAATATTACAAACGTCAGTGGCACGTAAGAGGAGAAAAAGTAAAATAAAGTTAGAAACAGCAACAAGCAAAGAAATTCACTAAATGAGCCTCTGGCTATAAGTGCAATACGCTTACACAAAATGCACTAAGTAAATGATGATTAAGAAGTGAGCATGACCTATTGAAATTCTCAGAAGTCCCATAGGATCATGTCTTCAGAATCAAGTGTATATCTCATACCATAGTTGGGCTGGTCTGGCTGTGCAGTTTGTGCAACTAAATCTTTATTATGACGAAGAAAAAGTATCGTGTTTCTCAGAGTGAGTGCGTGGTCAAAGTATCTCTGTGCTTCTCCTTCACCAGTGCTCTGAACCTAAACGAAGAGAAGTAAGTTTTTCAACAAATAGCACTCTTAGGCCATTCATTTTAACACATGACCAAATGGCAGAGATATTAAGACATTAAAATCATTAAATAAAAACTTGCCCAGGTAATACTGAAACAAATATTAACCCTAATCTCTACTGATTTTCCATTTGACCTTATGTTTCAAGATGACAAATTACCCCCCAAAGTAAAACACTTTTAGAAACCAAATAATGCTAAATCATACCACTGTATAAATTATATGGCCCACGTATGATTCAAATAGGGTGCTTAAAAACCTCTAAGATCTGTATTCTGCTTTACCCAGTAAAGTACTCCAATGCGTGGTCACCAACCATGCCTCTAATTCTCATCGCCCTGGTCACACTTTCATACCACTGGTTACAAGGGACAATAGAGTATGTGACTCAACAAAGCTGTTCACCACTGCTGAGTACACAGCTTAACTTCACTCGATCAGGAATGACTGAGCCCCTCTGCTGAGCTGTGTACGAGGACCCGTCCAGGCCATGAGGACAGAGCACTAAACCGAACGGCCTTCTCTGGGCTTACGTTCTCACGCATGCTGTTCGGACCCTGAGCCAGTCACCTGTTTAATATGGAGAAACACACATATCCCAGAAACAACACAGAACACGAAAGGACAGGTCTAAGGGGAAGTAACTGAATTAGGTTTGCATTAAATAAGACCAACCAACCAAGTTTAATCAAGCTGAGGCTTCTTAAAAGAAAGCTAAGAAACTATTTCAAAAACTAAACTTCACACTAATAGGCTTCCCCAAGAAAGACTACGGGACAAAAAAGAATCCAGCTCTACAAAGTGAGAAAGTGGTGTTCCGATCTGCTCTGCTTGGTAACCGACTAGATGAGGCAAGAAAAGTAAGAACCAGGAAAACAGTGTAAGTGTGCACGGAAAAATAAAAATGGGTTGGCAAAAGGTAATACACAGTAAGAAACAGGGTTAACAAGATGTTAAAAGTATTGAGGGAATAATGAAAATTTACAGTAAAAGAGACCAATTAATAAGAAGGATTATCTCAAATCTATTTCTATATTAAAAAAGTAAAAATCCTATGGAGAAGGGGCAATGAAAATGTTATGAGTCGTCCTTTTTTTTTAAGATAATTTTTAAAAATCATCAAAAATTCTCTAAACAGCCCATTTAATACACAGAGTTTATCACTAAAGCACAAAAGGTGCCACAAGGTATTAGTCAAAGGTAATACTAAAGGTATGAGTCAAGAAACAGAGGAGATACACACACTGTTTGCATGAACAGCAGAGGATGGAATGAATCCAGGGAAGGAAAACACCCAGGGGCAGGCAAGATTCAGCGCCAAGGGAAGCTAGGGCTGCCCTCTCGGGAGATCGGGCGGTTAAGAGCAGCAATACGGCTGAGTCTCCAAGAGGCTGAAAGGGACGGTGCGAGGGGACATAAATATGACACCTGGGACACTGTTCCAGATTTCAGATAACTGGAACAAAAACTTTATATGAAAATGTTTAAGAGGAAATCATACAGAGTTACCAAAATAAATAAATAGATAAAAAATAAAATTTAAAGGCTATTTTAGAAAAACATAACTTAGACTAAGATTTCTATACCCTATTTCCTCATTATGTCAAATTATGCTATTAGATGAAATTAAAAAATCATTTTTAAAGTCACAAAATTCATTCATCCACTCAACATGTTTAAAGCTAAGTGACTACCACAGTATTCGGGTGGGGAATGAGGTAGAAACGAGCAAGAATGCACCAAAAACCTACATAAATCATTAACTGATGATGGTTTATATCAAGCAAGAAATGGCTCCCAACGCGCTGGCAGCCCGACAAGCAACCCGGCCCTACCTTTTCTAGTTCGACAAGGAAGCTGTCCAGAGACTCGTCCGAGAGTTTGCCGACTTCAAACATTGTGACCGCGTGGCTTTTCAGGTTCTGCGATAAAGAAGCAAAAACAAAAAAGTTAAAATATATCGCAGTGTCTTATACAAGTAATTTCAAGTTCTAGGTCTCCTTTTATGCTGAGCATAGCATCTTACATTCATATTATGCTTTCCAACATATTTAAACTTAAGGGTGCATGAGGAGAGGGGCTTATTCTTTTAATTACAAAGGTATCATCACATAAAAGTTACTTTCCTCCTCTATGGAATAAAAATCAAAGGCAGTCATATTTTCAAGAATAAATCTAGTGACATATTAAAAAAAGATACAGAAGCACTGAATTACTTTACATCTAATCTTTGTTTTAAACATTTTTATATTTAAACAAGAATTCGACTTACTGGTGAAAGATTTCCCATCATTAAAAAGGCGGTGAGAGTTGAATCAAACAGAAACGCTATACGCTTTGTATAGCCTGTAGACAAACTCAAACTGCTTACACTGGCTGTGTCCGCTGAAAAAAACATGTAATTTAAAATTAAGTAAATGAAAAATATTCTTTGCTTATCATTTGGAAAGAAAAACTATTTTTCAGCTTTACTTAATAACCAGAAAGTACATAATTAAGCATGAGCCATACTGTCAACGTACGGGTCCCAGTGCTAATCATCAACATAAAGTTTTTTTAAAAATGTATTTTAAAGGCACTCACTTTTGTAGCCAAGTTCTTGAAAAGCAATAATTAACCAAGTCTTGATATCTGTCAGATCAACAGTGCCAAGTAGCCTAACCTCTTCAGACAAGTCACCTGGCCCAGGTAACAGAGCTACTTGGGGGAAAACTGGGAGCCCAAGCTCTGTTCCTCTCGCCCTCGACATAAACCAGGTGCAGCCTCCTCATCCCCTCGGCTTTGCCGCCCTTTGTGCTTAGCCCGTGCTACAGCTTCCCTCCTCACCAGCTAGCTAGCTCTTATTCATTCTTAGTCCAATTATCATCTCTTCCCTGAAGGCTTCCCAACCCTCTCTAGGCAGTGAGGGGGCCCTTCCTCTTCGCTCCCCACAAACACGGTACCATTTCTCCCTTTGCTGTGGATTCTGCCGCCGCACTGCCTTCTCTCCCTACACTTAATTCTTAGAAGGAAGGGACCGTGTTCTTGTCAGTTCTATACGCTTAAGACCTAGCACAGTGCCCAACATGTTGGTAAGCACAAAGACTGCACGTCGAACGAGTGAACTCTAGAACAAACTGTAAGCTCACTAAGCCTACAGAGCTCCCCTGTGAGCGTATGTGCAGACGCCTCACCCGCAGAGAAACTCCCCGAGAACTGACCACGCTGACCTGGGTCTTCTTGACTGTTTGTGTCAGTGTCGGTGGCGGACGAGGCTTCCTGTACAGGACTCCTGCTCTCCCCGCCATCCCACGACAGGAGCATCTTCTGTGGATCTAAAGTACTCCTGGAACGAAGAAACCATTCACTTTTTAGAGATCTTCCATGTGATCTCACACAAAAGTCGTTAGTGAAGTCAGAACTTAAATTACAAACACCTATCTAAACCCTCATACTCCGGTCTGAAATGGAGATGCAGCCCCAAAATGCTGTGTCCTCGCAGGACAAGGCTTCGTAACCAAGACCTACAGACAGGCTTCGAGGAATTGGAGAGCCCTTTAAAATTACGGATTTGTGAAATGTTGTATATGCTTTGTTCTGCGGTTCTTAGTTTCCCTCAGATTCTAAAAAGACTCATCACACATAAAATTTTAAAAGAATACTAATACATAGGATTCACTTCAAATGACGGTAAGTAAAATTTTTGTATGTCAAACTGTATTTTCTAAAAAGAAAACTCCAAGATCTCATACTAAATAAATGAGTTACTTTAATCTGTTTATGGATGGAACATTTCTCCATGATGAATGAAGTTGATCCAAATTTATTACTTGTCCCTTCTTATGGGCAAAGCCCAATCGGCAATACATTGAAACAGCATTCTGAAAGACATACATATAGAAAATGAGCATTTCAAATAAACCAGACATCAGAATCTTTGTAGACAAAATATCATCACAGACTATGCCTACAGATCCTCAAACATTTTCATCCTGTAAGTAGAAGAACAATTCTCTGTACACTGATTCTTCCCCTTAGGTCTTCACACATGTAGAAGAGGAAATGCACGCAATTCTCTGGCCTGGCCCTCCCCAGATCTGTCCCCAGTGGAGGAGCTGCTGCCTTAATTATCTCATTACGAGACACCCATCAGTCTGCTTCCTGCTCTGCAGAGAAGTGTGGGCGCTGCCCTTCACTCCTCAGGGTGGAATACTAATGGTAGCCCTTATCTTGCTCCTTCCTGTTACGTAAGCATCCCTTCACTGTGCACACTTCTCCAACAGCTAAAAAGGAACTCGCTGCCTCCATTCCTCAGGAGCTTATCAAGATAAAAACCTAAAATAAAATCCATTTGGTATTTAAATCGTAAGTAAAAAGAGTATAAAAATTACATACCTTAACAAGGGATAAATCTATCTCAAGCACATTTGCAAGCTGGAAAATGAAGTAAAAAACTGTGTGACATTCTTAGAATTATCAGCATATTAACACAATTGTAGTAGAACTTTAACCAAAATTAGCAAAATTTTTAATTACAAATAATTGAAAGACAATAAATTTTGAAGTCAGAATTTTCTTCTTTCCATTATCTTTAGGATGCTTAGAGTAGTACAAATCCAGGTAGTGGCCTTAACAACATAAGATTCTTTCCTCTTTAATTCTGTCTCATTTAAAATAAGAACACTCCTAGAACAACCTTTTACTAAACAGTTGCGCAATGCTTGCAGGCAGGGCTACAATCTGAGAGCCGAGACGGGAGTCCAGTCTGCGCTGTGTGAACATCACAGAGTGCACTCCAGGGCCTAGACAGCACCGCCCGCCACTGTAACGCCTGTGCTGTGCTTTCACGCTGCTGGCACAGGAGGTCCGTTCACACCCGCATCACCACAAACACCTGAGTCACTGACTCACTGTATAGTTCAAGCCCTCCAGCTGGCTTTTCTTTTGGTGATGTGAGCGCCTGACTTAAGCTCTGATTGCAGAGGACTCCCCTTGGAGAAAGGCTGTCTGGAATGAACACACTGCCAGCCACAGGGCTGAAGATGCAGGTCGCCTCCCCCTCCCCCTGAGACTCCGGTGTTCTAGATCTTGATTTCCATAACTGACCATTTGGGCTAGATGTCATGTTTTGGAGATCTTAATATCAATAACTAGCATTTGGGTTACTTGGGTTTTTTTCCTGGACATCCCCCCCAGCCTTGTACACTCCAAGGCCTGTAAGTAGGAAACTTTTCTTCAAAGTTTCCTAATGGTTACTGCTGAAGGGTATCTTGCAGTTCTAACAAGGAACTGCAAGGGTGGACTCAGAGAAGCACTGGTTTAGAAAGGGGAGCAGTCAGAGGGAAGTGCACCGGACCCATCCCCCACAAACAGGAACTCACTGTGGTGTACGACCTTGGGAAGGCTACCGTGTCACTAGACCCTGGGAAGTTTTCAGCTCCATTATAATCTTATGGGACCACTATCATAAATGTTGCCCCTCTCTCATGGTGCAGTACAAGACTGTAAAGCCTAATAAAAAGTTATTTACCAAATTTTATAAATGCAGACTAGTGACTTAAGTATATTAATAGTCCATGATCTACCCAGGTATAGATTTTTAAAACATCTTGACCATATCATTAAATAATTTTAACTACTTCACACAAACTCAACTTATAATCTTGAGGTTAAATTTTTTCACAAGCCCTGGCTGTTGTGGCTCAGTGGATCAAGCACTGGCCTGCAAACCGAGGGTCACCAGTTCAATTCCCAGTCAGGGCACATGCCTGGGTTGTGGGCCAAGTCCCCACTAGGGGGTGTGCAAGAGACAACCACACATTGATGTTTCTCTCCCTCTGTCTCCCTCCCTTCCTCTCTGTCTAAAAATAAATCAATAAAATCTTTTTAAAAACTCTTTCACAAGACGTTGATACACTTACCTCTGCAACATTAGTATGCTCATCTATTGAAACAAATATCTTATAAAGTAGAGTTTCAAAATAATCACCTTGCACTCGATTCATTACAAAACCTTCCAGAGGAGGAACTAAAATAAACAAAATAGACTTTTCTCAGTAACATAATTCTATAAAACAAGAAAGTATAATTCAAATATCTACTGAAAAAGAGAAACCTCTAACTTAAACTACTGAATTCAGCTTTTGACTTATTTTATCCACTTGATAGTAAGTGCTCTAAAACTAACAAAGTTAAGGTCACATCAACCCTGCCTACAGAGAGACTCCAGCGGTAGAGCATAAATCCTTCAGAGGTCCCTATTAATCCCCAAGGACCTGGCCACACTACAGAGGCAGAGGAGGTGCTGAGGTCATGGCTTGACAGGAAGGCAAGGGGACCAGGGCTGCTCCAGAACGGGGAAGGCAGCAGGGGGGACCGGGCTGAGGCAGAACAGCACACTGGCTGGCTGGGCCACACAAAAACCTGCTGCACGGGAAGCACCGTCTCTCTGCCTTTCCCCCATCGTCCCCACTCCATGCAGAGAAGAGGGAGATTCACCTGTGTGACTGCCACCCACCAGCAATAGCAATCCTGGTATAATCTGCTCCTGGGGGCTTTCTATTCTGTTCCTCCTCAGTGGGAAGAAGGTCAAGGCCTTCTGCAGCACAAGAGAGTGCCCAATCTTTGCTCTCCACCTCAAAGTTTATTCGTACTTGTTTCCATCTCTTTGGTCCAGGTGCTCTGCCCGGACAAAAACAGAGACACTACGCTTTCCTCTGCCTCATGAACTGTGAGCACATTTCCCTTGAAAAAATTCTAAGAAGGCAGAGTTTGGGCATCCGACCCACGGCCTGTGGGGCTGCATGCGGCCCAGAATGGCTATAAATGTGGCCCAACCCCAAATCGTCTCTTTAATCCTTTTTATTGCTCATCAGTTTTCGTTACTGTTTGTGTATTTAATGTGTGGCCCAAGACAACTCTTCTTCTTCCAGTGAGTCCCAGAGACACCAAAAGTTTGGACACCCCAGTAGCTATAGCAGAATCTGGATATCCCTGCGTCCTTCAACCCTAATACCATCTAACTGCATCCCAAACCTGAATCATTCCCAACAGAGAGAAGTAAGATAAAATCGTGAACAGGAAGATGCCGTGAAAACCCACAATGCACATGTCAGGACAGGTTATTCACTTCATATCTCATCACATCATTCTCTCACCTTGCGCTACCATACTGCAGTCATCCACATACTTTTAATGATCAAAGGTTCCTTTTCAGAAGTATTTTATAATTCCTGTATTTGATGTATTTAATCCTTTCCCTACACTATCATCTGTGTAATAATTAGTAATAACAAACATTTACTGAACACTTACCAAGCAACAGACTACTGCCAGGTACTTTACATAGGCCCATGTGCTTAGTATACTTTTGGAAGAATATACAAAAATCTTACCAGCAGCTGCTGAGAGAAATACTGTTTGGCTAGAAACAGAGGTGGGAGGTGGTGTGTTTACACTGTTTTGTAAATTTAGAATTTTTGCCTACTCAAAAAAATCTTCATAAAAATAAATAAATATAAAGAAGAAATAGCTAGGAATAGCCGAGAAAATTATAAAGAAAAGACACAAGGAAGGCCTGGCTGCAGCCAGCATTAAAGGTTACTCTGAGTCACTGTAGTAACACTAACAGGGTCTAAGAATAAACACACGTGAAGAAAAAAGGATATGAGAACTAATCCAAATGGAGGGAAATTTCATGGATGATGGAAGTTGGGCTTCTATTCAGTGGGAATGAGTTACTGGAAAAACACGCTACCATTTATCCAAATGGTTATCCAATTGGACCCTTATTTCACATCGAATATGAAAATAAGTTCAAGACCACAGTTTTAAATAATTAAAGTCTTAAAGAATTTTTAGACTACTTGTATGCCCTAGTAGAACTCTATCCAAGCATAATAGAAATCTAGAGGCTATAAAAGAGTAGACATAAAAAGTAAAGTGTTAAGTATGATGATGGTGGGCTAAATGTATTTTATTTAGTAACAGGCCCTTCCATGATTATTCTCTCTGAAGCGTTTCTCTCCCCACATTTATCTGTTCCACCACGCACAGGACTCATTTTTTGTTCAAGCACATTGGGACTGCTTCCTTTGAAATCACTGTCAGGTGGCTTTTGTGCTGAATTTGACAATTCCATGTTATCAAACTGCTTTCCTTTCATGGGTTATGCCAATTTGGGGAACAGCCAGAGGCAACATGGAGACAGCAATTGTAGCACCATGGGTCTTGTGTGTACCACCAAAACTTGCCGGGCTGAAACATGGAGGAACAGGGCACTGTGATCCAAAGCCATCCATTCAGCCCTTCTCTGATGCTTCCTTCAAAACTCAGTGTTAACTCGAGTCAGCATTCAAACCATCGAAATGGACTGAGACGGCGAACTACTTGAACACCAGTCTTTTCAGGTGGATCTTGATGAGTCAACGTGAGTTTATAAATAAGAGCAGGGACCAGAGTAACGCTTTCCTATCTTCCAGGGATGACAGGAGACTACTACCACCTCTGTCTGCCAGAAGTCAATTCCTTCTCAAACTTTCAAATTTTAAAACCAGTATGCCCAAGCTTAAAACAGAATTTATGTCCATACGTGGTTCCAAATGCCTTACTGAAGCATCATCGACTCATGCTAACAGGAACATCAGGACACACGAGGGCATGATCACCCGTCAAGATGCAACACGGATACGAAGGAGTGTTTCTGTAATAAGCCCCCCCACCCACCAGTCGGTTATTAATAGTAAGGCCATTCCCTGGAACTTTCTGACACTTTGTATTTGATTACACAAATACTAAATATCTTAGTATGGTAAAAGATACCACAAACAAGAAAAGCAGCTAAAAGATACACTGCAATACATACTTGTAACATATAACCTAAATATAACAAGTGCTTCCACAAATTGGTAAGAAATCTAACCTACAGAAAAAAGCTCCATTCTGTGTTTAAAATGTTAACGACATCACTGTTCTGGCAAAACTCTGGAAATAATCTAAATGACCAGCAATAGGGTGATGAGTTAATGACCTAATATACCCCTAAGTGTAGAAGGAAATATACAAGGGCCTTAATATTGATTTAATTGGAGGGTGAAGTAGTAGGGAAAAGATGAAGACAAAAAAGATGGCAGTGACATGAAATATAAGGCACAGATCAGTGGAATAGAGAATACACAATTCCGTGATACTACTGAATATACGTAAAAACTGTGATGTGCTGAACAGTGACATAAACTCATAATAAATGGACTTAGGATTGTGAGGATTTTAACTCAGGTTTCTATTATTTTAATATAGTGAATACACCAAATAATATAAAAATGAAAATAAGGATTTTAAGTAAAACCACCACAGATACATTACAGAATAATGAGATTATGAATGTCTTTCCTTCTTTGGAAAATTCTAACACCAAAGATCCTAGAATGATTTGTGTCTAACTTACTAGAGTGATAAGCAGTACCTAGAACTGTTCAAAAAAACACTGAAAAATATTAGCACTTACTTACCTGCTATACAACTGTCATCGGATATTGGTACATCCAGATAAACAAATCCTTTGTTATATAAACCTACAGAAGCAAAAATACCTTCTTTTAGATGGCATACTAAATATTTTTTTAAAAAAACTGATTCCTGATTTTCTGTAATAAATGGCAGTAAAGAAAGGGAAGGGTTAAGTCAAGGAACACGTATAAAGGACCCAAGGTCAAGGACAAGAGGGGAAAGGATTAATGTGGAAGTGAGGGGCGGCAGTAGGGCAGGGGAGAGCAATGGGGGAAAATGGGGACAACCGTAATTGAACAATAAAACATTTTTTTTAAATAAAAAGATTCATACAACTGAATGCCATGTGAAAAACAAAAGAATTAATTTTCAAATCTGAGCTTCCCTCATACGCACAAAACTACAATATTTTTCTTACAATTCATTTGTATAAATTTCTAGTGGATGTGACTAATTATAGCCACAGTGGAAAACAATGGACTGTGGTCACATTTCACACAATAACATGCCTCTGGGAAACATTACTATTTTTACCTAATTAATAAAGAATTGCTACTAATTTGTAATGGTTTAAAACATGTTTTTACATCAAAAAAGACCAGTTCTACTAACCACTTACTATGTACTACATTGTAATCTAGTGATCCAGCGAGCTGAGGGCCTGCATCGATGATCTTATCAATAGCGCATTTCTCGGACAAAGTGCATATCTAAGAAAAGCAAAATATTTTCAATTAAGTTCTGTCCAAATTCACTAATTCATGTCTCCTCAAATCTATTCATGTTTAAACCAGAACTATACTTTTCTCATTTTTCACTCCAGAATTCTAACAAAGAAGCTCTGCACACAAACCTCAATTAAGGTGCCGAAAGATGCTGCCAACAGAACTTAGAGAAGGAATTCTATGCAGCAGAGAGAAAGAAGGAGCTACTACCTTTTGCAACAACATGGATGGAACTGGAAAGCATTATGCTGAGTGAAATAGGCCAGGCATTGAAGGACAAATACCATATGATCTCACCTTTGACAGGAAGCTAAAGAATAAAACAAACAAGCAAACAGAATAAAAACAAAGACGCTGAAATAGAGAACAAGTGGGCAGCGACCAGAGGGGAGAGGGAAGGGAACTTAAGGGGAAAAAGGGGGAGGGATTTTGAGGAACAAGTATGAAAGACACAGAGATGAGGACTGGGGGGGGCGGGGGGAATGGGAGGGAGGGGGGAGACCGGGCGGGGGGGTGGGGTGGGATGGGAGAAATAGATAAAAAAAAATGTACTTGAAAAGTAACTAAATAAAATTTAATATTAAAAAAAAATAATAATAAAATAAAATACAAAAAAAAACACAAAGTAACCATCGACAACATGTGTGGTAAGTAATAAATGTTTGCTAATAAACACCAATATTTATTCATCTTCTCTGAGCTGAAATCTGATCTATTTGTGATTCCGAACCTTCACAAATAAAGCTGACCCTAACTGCACGTGACTGCCACGAGGAAGAAGTTCACTATTTCAGGACACGGTCTGGCGGCTCTGTTAGGAAGTGCTTACACTGAAGCAAAATTTCTAAGCCTCCCACTTGTGTATCTGTCCTCTGGGGTAAAATAAAACACAAAGAAAAAGTCCACATTTCTTCAGCCCCCCAGACACAGGACCTGGCCTCTAGGGATCCTGTCCATGTGTATATAAAATGCGGCCCAACCACTGGGAATACCATTTCCCTTCACTTTGGCACGATCACCCTGTCAAAGCACCTTTTGTACAGCAGTTCACTTAGCACAGAAATTAAGAACTAGGTTCCACATAAAACTGCCTGGGTTAAAGTCCTGGCCCTTTACTTCCACTGTGACTTGAGCCATCATGTCCTTTCTCTGGGCTCACTTTCCTCACATGTGCAACAGGGTGCAAATCATACACACCTCAGGGGTTGTTCTGAGCATCAGAGGAGACAGCATAAAAGCACTGGACAGTGCCGGGCACACCGAGCACCCGGCAGGTGCTTAAAAGTGCCGGCCAACGGGACTGTTGGTAGCTGCAGCACCACACCAATCCACCCGAAACTGCCCTCTAGTTAACACTCCCGGATGACTGTACGTGACCCAAGTCAGGTCTCCCTCACTATTAAAGAGCATCTTGGGAACCCACCAATATTCTAGCCTACTAAGATCATCTTATATTCTGAATTTGTTTAATTTTCTTCGAGAAAACCAGTGTCACTTTTTAATAAAACCTAGAGAACTGTAATTTACAATAATTTTTAAAATAAAAACCCTTTTTGAGACAACTACCTTTATGTCATCTTCCATGATATATCCGGCCTGCACCACCCACCACGCCTCTATGGCAATTCCCACCGGCTTTCCTGGGAGAAGATCACGGGCTGTTTTCCTCCTGAAAAATTTCTGCAACAGTGCAATTTGTGATCAGTCTAAATTCACTGTCTTCTTTGTTCTCGATCCTATAAGAAGACTGTCTCTAACAGGCTAGTACCTTTTTAAATTTGAGCATGGGGAAGACCATACTCGAATTACTTCAAAATAAATTACGTAAAAAGACTAATCATTAAGTTTGGATCTAAATCCAGATACTAAAATCAAACCCAGGATGTTTTTGGAACATTCTGCTTTTGGAAAAGTGTACTCATTTCACTCACTAAATAAACTCAGAGAGCAAAATGAGCAAGAAAAAAGACCAGCAGAACAAAATTAATTTTTAAAAATAAGCTGCATATTTTATGCCTTCAACTGCTTTAATTAAATAATCACTTAAACCATAGCCTAGAGAATACTGAGGAGTTTTTGTATTGTTTCTGCATTAACTATATTTTACTTGAGCAGAGAAATTACAATTCATTATTTCTAACACTGAAAAGTTTAATCGGCCTGTGCTAAGGAAGGCAGGACATGAGAAAGAGGGGAGTGACCGACTTACTTTTGATGACCTGCACTGATTCATGAGGTCAATGTACTGGTTCCTTCCTATGCCAAGAAGCCTTAGACCTGAAAGAAAGAGACTGTCCTTTAAAAACTTTTAGTACCTCTTGAAATGTCAGCACACCTGTAGTCTTTTAGGGAAAAAAACCTGGCTTTTGTTCATCTTTCGATTATTGGTTGGCAACATGAAATTAAAAGGAATTCTTCAAATAAAATACACAAGATAATGAAACAGAGATGAATTCAGGCTAATACTTTATTTTTGAAAAGCAGAAGTCCTTCCAATTTCAGGAGTCAAAGTGTACTTCTCAGCAAAAGTTTCTTCTTATGTAACAGAACTGTGTCACATTTCAAACAAGCACAAATAAGCGTGAAATAACACTAGCAAATTATGTTAGTCACAAGTGTACATACATCATGCTGTAAAAATATCATACACAGGTCTTCTTTGCTCATTTGTTACACAACATAGCCCAAGTACCAGAAAAAACTTTATTCTCTAAAAATATACAGACCAGTTTCATTTTTCTGATTCTCACACTCCGAAACATGCCTCTGAAGACATTTAGACCAAATCTTACACTTGATTTGTATCACCTGATAAAATTCCTGTCAACAGTGGCGCTTGCTGTTCTCATCTCTCACATGTTTTAGGTACAAACACACATTACAACACTGACACAACAGCATGCACGCACAAAGACACGAAACATTACCTCCTTCAGCATAACTGAATACTTACAGTCAGCAGCAGTAAAATTGGGCAACGAATCATAACTTTTCTCACTGTTCATAATGTCCTTTTTGAAAGAAAAGAAATAAAAATGTTTAAGTGCAAAATGTCTTTAGATAAAAATATGCATATATATATATATATATATATATATATATATATATATATATTTCTAAGCCAAACAGAGGAACAATAATTATTACATGAAGCCCTGAGATCAGTTTAGCAGCCTGAAGCACACAAGCCACATGGTGGCACTTCACACGTGGTCTCAACCTTGTAACTGAAGATCAGACGTTCCGGGCTCGGCTGCTCCTCGCACTCTCTGTGTATGAACCCCAGGCCGCTGCCCTGTGACCACTGCCCTGTGGAAGCTGTAACCTGAGAGCTCAGGATCCCAGCCTGTCCACACTCCCTGTCTGATCCCAGACTCGCACCCTGAGGAGAGGCCCGATGATGATGGGCCGCAGCTCCATCAGCACACGCCTGCGACACACACTGCCGACAACGTGTTTAACCACTGAGTCATCTTTGCTCCTAGGAGTCCCCACCGGCTGCACAGTTAAATTCAGTATCCGGCTTCTTCCAACTCCTATCTGTTTTTTTCCAATAGTAAACCCACTGTTTACTGGGGAGATACGACCCATTTTTGACCCAAAAGCTAGACCCGATAGTGTAAGAACAGAAACCAGACAGCAGCAAGCACGTGGACACAGTTGAGAGCTGGCAAATGGGACACAACCTCCCTCCATTATCTTCCCAAACCTGTGGACCACCAGAAAAACAGTCAGAGAGACAGCAACAACTCTTCTACTCACTGGTCAGCAGCCACCTGCACCGTGCTACTCTGGTTCTCGGGAAAGACACCGGCAGAAGCACAGGCTTTCTGTCAGGTCTCACGCTCACTTTGTATTTCCTCCAAAATAGGGACATGGGAGACACAGGACTGCAGAAGTGCCTGTGAGCAAGGGGCTTGAGAAGATAAGCAAAGGGAACTCTTGCAAAGAAAGCCACTTCGTAAAGGAAGCTAAGGTCACTCTCAGCACGGGTCCCCAACTCCTTTAGTTCTAGGCTTCTTCCAGTTCTTAAAGTGGCCAGTGAGCACAAAACAGTAGTACTCAAATATAATTTAAGCAGTAAATGAATATTAGATAAATATCGCCAGTCTTTACATAAATCCCAGCTTCGAAAAGAATATAACTGGTATTTACACGTATTCAACAGAAGACAAAAAACTGCCTTTGGCAAAGGCTAACATCTGGAAGTCAATAATTACAGAAAGACTGGCAGCCAGGGCTCCGAAAGCAGCCTTCTTTTTCTGACACGTGCAGTACACAAGGCTAGGTCTGCGCCATCATTTATAGTCACTACAGTTAGTAAACAGCTAAGTATATTAAGTTTCCCTGAGCTTAACATTCAGTTCTGTAACCCACCATTTTAACCTTCATCACGCATTAAAAGCAATAAATGTTATACAAATTCTGCTAACATAAACGATTAATGTGACAACAGCGCAGAGTAAACAAGGCTTTCAAGAACACAGAATAAAACAAGATGTGTTTCCACTGTGAAAATGTTGATAATGACAACTATTTGCACAAGTGTGGCTAGAACAGTTAGCTTGTAACCACCAGACCTTTTTACACTGTAAACTCGGAAACAATGCTGCTGAGAGTGGCAGAGCTGGCCATCATCTGCAAAGTGTCCCCGACACTAGTCCCATCCCATTCCTACCGGCTCAGGTCTGCTGTAAACTCACCTCCATAATCCCAGTATAATATGAAAACGGTGTTATCCTCAGGCCCTTGACCATAATATCCGATAAATGGTAAGGGTACAGCATGAGATGGTCTCGACTATACTTCAGCAGTTCCTCATAGTATTTGCGCTCATCTCTCTTGACATGTTTAACTGGGGGAAAGAAAGGAATTCACCAGTTTTTTTTTCCAGGTGTCTTATACTTACATGTAGTTATAAATACAATGAGAAACACTTTACAAACCAATAATTAATTTAAAAGTATATAAATTGGAAAAGAATGAATAAAATAATCTAAATGGGAAAAAACAATTATACCACAAGAAACAGACTTCAAAATATGTAAGTATTTTGGACAGATAAGTAGAGAAATAATTCTTACCAAATCACAGGCAAAGTGAGCATAACACGTATCCCAAAGAGGTATAAAATATTCAATCTCTTACTATGTCACTTTGCAAGATAGCCAAACTGAACAGCAGTTTTCTATAAAATCAAGTCTATTTTTAAAAATTATCTGGTTTTTGTCATTTAAATGTAAAGACATCTGACTTCCATGGAATAAATTTAAAAAGAATGCCTATCTCTGAAATACTATGTCTAAAAGAAAAGCAGCAAATGGGAGGGAAGACTAGAATAGACTAATCGAAGTAACCTGACCAAAAAAAAAAAAAGCTAACATTAAAACATGACCCTATGTTTAAAAATTGTTCCAATTATTAAAGAAAAAGTTTTCTCTAAAGTTGTATTATTTGGAAAATCTGTGCAGACAAAAACAAAACTCAAAGTCAAAAATTATTGAGAACTAATGTACTTCCTTTCTGGCGGAGTTTCTTATGTAAAGTAAAAAGAGGGCATTTGAATCAAGATTAACATTCTAAAAGTAAAACAAAGCTATTGACAACACTCTAAAAAGAAAACTCTATTTGCTAATGCAAACTGTTAGGTGGGATGAGCCAGTACAGTTTCTTAAAAGTCTGCACATGGAATGATTTCAGAACTATAAAATAGGTACTGAAGAGAGAGCTCCAAAAATGATAGCAACAGTAGATTCCACCTCAGTGTAGAAATGTCTCTACTCACCCAAGTTATTTCTGTACCGTAGCTGATTACGGATACTGTACAGGACAACCTGCTTTTCGTATTCTCTCTGCGCATTTCCAAGACTCTAAAAAAATTTCAAATAGATTTAAAATAGCTTCTAAACTTCAGTACTCCCTCCCCCTAATTTTATCCTGAATTCTCTAATTTCCAGAACTGAATAAAGACTTTCTTAAATATTATAATACTTTTTGCTATAGTTTTAGAGCAAAATTTCAGTGTGTTTATTTTCAGTCTACCTTTCTAAAGGGACTTAATAAAATTACCCAAAGTATTTAATATTAAATAAAAGAGCCATTTGAGAGCATAATTTCACGTAAGTTAACAAAGCGGTAAGTTCTACTTATAAAGATTTTCCTCTTGACTGTCCCCAACTTATGAGTATTAGTTAAATAGATGGATGGATGCTTGTACCTACATTTATTTAAATTAAAAAATGGAAACTGAGGACAGAGCCCTATCTGATAATTATTTATAGCTGAACGATATGATTAAGATTTCTAGAGAATGCACATTTCAAATGTACATCTCTGAATTTAAGATTACTTCTTTAAAACATTATCTTATAGTCTCTTAGAAAACATTTAAACAATTTTAGAATTCCAATATATTTTAATAATCAAAACACTTCCTAGCTGTGCACTTAATGTTTTAAGCTCAAAGTTGGGCTGCCACGAAAGCAAAGGTTACGTTTGCCTGATTACAGTCAACATTACATTCACTGTGTGACCATAAACTTAATTTAATACGTGACTGCTATCCCCCTTGTAATTACTAGGTATGATCTTTCGAACATGCTATAAAATAAAATTAGACATCTTAGGAGACTAATGACATAAAGATCAGAGGTTTCAGTTATTATAGTTCTTACTCATAGGTTTTTGAAAGCCAAGATAAATGCCCAAACACATACTCTCCCCAAGGCAATCTTCACAAAACAGATGAAACACCCATCATAAACTGGCAAATAACTGGAACCACTGGTGGGTGATGTTTTAAGAAAAAAGAGATGATGTGAGAAAACTAAACATCTTTCTTCCTAGATTATTTATCACAGGTTAAACCACCTCACACTACTGTCAAAATGTATGTGCTTCTGTTATTTTTAGCCATTTTAGCATTATGAGTAGTTAGGACTAAAATTCATTATAGAGAAACTATTCTACCAATCACCATGTAGCACCAAAGCTAGGGTAAGTACTGAAGATATTTAGGGAATTCAAAATATTAAGGCTTTTTGTAAAACTTTTAAAGGGTTTCCTCTAGCTCAAATGCTATCTCTTTAAGTGATCTTACCAATTTTTAAAAATTTAATGTCACATCTGTACCTAATTTTAACCGTTCAGTGATTATTTTTAATAGTCATGACTAAGGTTTAGGAAATATTTCTACTAGTAACAAAGGTCAGTTATTCAAGTCGGACATAATTGAATCATCCAGCTTTCTTCCATTATGCTACATTTATTTTTTGTACAAGAAGGAGCAGAGGAAAAAATGGAAACAAAGAAAAGGACTGTGGTTTTCCAAATGCGTCCACATATGCCACAAAACCGTTATGAGAGGACGTGTCCACCAAAGCCTTCATTCACGCTTAGGAAGAGAAACTTATTCCCTCAAGTGCAGACTTTTTTTCTTTTTCCAGGTCAAGATAAAATGCCACATGGGCAGCCACTGACAACCAAGAATTCTGAGTTTCTTAAATTTATTTTTCTACTTTCCTGGTTTTCTTGAAATCGTAAAGCAAAGACATTTTCTGTTACGCGATGCATTGCCAAACCTTCAATTTTTCACTTCCTAGAACTAAGTCCCCAAGTTGGGAGAGGAGGCAAGAGTAATATCCTTACACCATCGCCACCACCATCCCAAATTTCCCAAATATAACTGCCTAACAACGGCGGAAAACAGAATTTCACCCTCAACCAAGCAGAATGGGAGGAACCTGAAGGTCTGTCTACGATCAGAGACGGCGCCCCCCATGTAGCCTGCACCGCCCCTTTCACATGCTTGTACACCACCTGCCATGGTACTACTTACTCACTTACTATCCTTCTTCACTAAAACGCAGGCTCCATGAAGGCAGAGTCTGTCTTGTACAAGACATTGCACAACAGCAGGTGTTCAATAACTATGTTAAACGACTGAGTAAAGTTCAACTCAAGTATCTGGGAGTTAACTCTCAAAAACTGCAAATCACTTCTGCTGAAAAGCCTATCTGGTCATGAGGATCAAGTCCAACAAAACCAAGTACAAAGCTCCTTCAAAATCTGGCCCTGACTGCCTTTTCAGCCTTCCCTGCTGGCAACCCCCACGCACTCGTGGAGCCCCGGCCCCAAATAGATCGCTACATCTACACCTCCCAACTCCTCTAGAAACGCGCTTCCACTCGTCCGAGCCTTTGCAAACGACTTTCCTTCTCTCTGGAGCATCGTTACCCCTTCTTATCTTTTATTCGTCCTTAAGAACCAGTGAAAGGCCTGCACACATCCTTGCGACAGTCCCTGGTCGATGTCTTACTTCCTCCTCTGTGCGCCCACATGCAGGATAACCCAGAGACGTAAGACACCTGTAACGTACTAACTTGCTTCTCCCACCGTCCCGAAGTTCTGGAGGTCAGTGTGCTACACCTCCGTGTCTCAGGCGCCCAGCCCAGTGCAGGGTTGAGTGGAGGCTTCGGGCAAAGGCGCCAGGCGAGTCCAGTGTATGATAACATCCCATCCCTTTTAGCCATGGCCCCATCCTGCCTCGGAGGCCCCAGAGCCTTCCCCTCCTCATCCCTGAGCTGCGGGTCGGGTTTCCCAGGACCCCCGCTTGGGGAACGGCGGGAGACTGCGGAGAGGAACCAGCCCCGGCCTGGGGGGCGCAGCCAGCATGTGGTGGCCGGAGGCAGAGACGGCCCCGGCCCCAGGTTGCGGCCTTACCTGCTTCACATTGGCCGGCAACTTGCTCCAGGGGTAGTTGTGCCGGATGTGGAACTCCACGTCTATGTTCATGATTCCCGGAGCCCGGGCCAGCGGTGGCGCCCACGACCGCAGCAGGAACGATGCCTCCCGCTGCCCGCCCTCGGCCTGTCAGGGGAGCTCACGGGAGGCCCCGCGCCTCACGCTGCCGAGGGGCCGGACAGCCCCATGACCAGGGCTCCCGACGGCTCGGCGCGGCCAGGGCCACGGGGCACAGGAGTTGCGAACGCAGGCGGCGGGGAAGCCACACAGCTTTAAGTTTCTTCCTACTTTCGCCCCACCGGAAATGGCTTTGGGTTCACGTCACTTCCGCCCGCGGGTGCAAAGCCGGAGGGGCGTGGCTCCGAGTTGGCCTCCTGTCCCGCCCCCTACACTGGTGGGACTGGGCAACGAGGTAGAGCCCAGAGGTACTACAGTAACCGCCCCCCCACCCAAGATCTTCGTCTCCCTTGGTCTCCCTTCGTCATTCAATGGATGAATTAAAATAGGCGCTTGGGTTTGCACTGCCATTGTTGGACAACCCATTTTCCCCAAAATGTGACCTTAGGGGGCCCAAGAGCAGGCGATGACAGGTGTGACTTGAACAGAGCCACAGCTGGCTTCAAAGAGTGCAAGACCTTGAACACCGCCCCCCACCCCCCGCCCGCCGAGGGCTTCCGCATAGCAAACCAGTACCTCTGGGCACCACCACCTTGCGAGTTCCTAAGTCAGAGCTCTCACCCCAATTGAGCGAGAAGCTGAGAGGTAGCAGAGCAAAGGTCTGGAGATCCTTTATCCCTTCCAGGTAGTAGCTGAATCGTGTGGAAGAGAAACTTTGGGATCTACTTCAAACAAAAATTCAAATTCTTAAAATATAGAGAGATTCGGGGAGCTGAAATTTTAAACAAACTGGTGCTGACAAGCGGGGAGGCCCACAGGGAATCCAGGAGATAAAGAACCTTGCACACAGTCTCTCTCTTGGCTACTGCTTTCTTCTACTCTATCCAGACAAATGCCTCCAAAGTCACTTTTCAAGGCAGAAAGCCAGCCCTATCTTAATTTCAGTTCTAGTGACATGTTTGGGAACAATTTCTTCCACAATTTGTTACACTGGCTTAGTAAACCCATGACTATTGTTACTAACAGCGAGCAGAGACGAGTTCAGTATTTTTGCAATGATTTTTCAGTGTTAAACAATATTGGTTTTTTTTATACACCAACACTTCTATACTCAGGAATTTTTATAACATGCCTACCCCACCACCACCACCCTGCACGTCTCAGCAGCTGGCCAGTCTGACGCACAGCAGGAACTCAACTGTGTCTGAGTCCAAACGAATGTGGCCCACACTGCCCTGCATAGATATATTGGTCTTAGGTTATCCAATTAGAAGAGTCCACAGCTAGGTGCTTTCAACCCTGTGGTTTACAGACCCTCATCATCAGAGCTAAAGGTAACAGAACTCTGACTATGAGACATTTATTCAACATAGGTTGGCTACGTGCCTACTGTGCAAAAAGTTCTTGTCTTGAGATAGATTGTAACTCCTCCCATTCTGATGAAGGAATACCACCACTGCTACTCTGATTTAACAGAAAGGAAACAGGCTTGGCAGGGCTGCCCAACCTGCTCCCCAGATCACACGGGTGGTAGTGACGGAGCCAAACTGCAGCCCAGAGTTCTCTTATACCAGCGCCACCCTTTTAATTCCCAGATTCAGGCTCCCACGGAGCTTTTCTGCCACCCGTCACAATTCAGGCAATGTCCACTTAAAGTCAATGACATAAATGTCCTCCACAGATAATTTTTAAATAATTTTAAGTCTAGAAGCCATATTCTTCCAAAGTCTAACTTTGATTTAATACAATGTAAGTAACAACAAAAGTAAAAGTCAACATTATTTTAAAGTCCCTACAAATAATTATTTTATCTTATTATAACAGTTGAACAAGTGCCTGCTAACTTCATCTCTTTCATCAATGAATACTGAATGTAGTGTGGACACATCGAAAACTATGGAAGTAGATGGGAGGTGATGGAGATGAATGCCTGCTGAATCAGTAAGACAGAGACCTTTGAAAATTTGACCAGGGAAAGATTCTGACTCAGCAGATAGAATAAAAAACAATTAGAATAGAAAAGACTCTAACTTAGTGAGTAGCTGAGAAAGGCAGAATTTGGAGGAGAAAATGGTAATGGGTCAGAGCTACATATTTGAAGATTCCAAATGACAAACCCTTCGGAGTAAGCTATGGTGGCAGTTTGGTTTATGCACTACAGGGTGCTAATTAAGGTACTGGTCTGCCTCATTTCCCCCAAGGTGACCTGTCTTTGAGAGGTTGGACACAAAGCAGTTCAGAGAGCCCTCAGGTGAACCCAGGGCTCTGCTGGAGAGTTCAGGAACTGGACGGCTCCCTCCCACGCTGGGAAGCACCAGCCACCACTGCTGGGCTCCACGGACAGCACTCATTGTCACCCCACCTTCTGGGCAAACAGCAATGACCATCCTTTCAGGTCCTTGACTCAGGTCCGGCTGTTTCTGCTTCATTAGACCTTTGCTTTTCAAATTCCAGAGGGGTCAGACACTGCAGAGTATTAGGTGTTTCCCAGAAGCTTCCATGCAAATGAACTTTGTGGATAAACAATGTGTTCAAAAATACAAGGGCAGTGAGATACAATCTTGTCTGACTTTACTAACTCGAACTACGGAAAATTACCCAAATGGCTTGGGCAAGGTGCCCTTCAAAAAGACTACAGAACTGTTTTATTCCTGAAATTCCCCCAAAAAAGAAAAACCAAACCCCAATATAGTGAGCAGAAACAACCTGAAAGTATGGAGCTTTCTGGTGATTTAATTTCAGACTCCAGAATATCATTTTTTGTGTTATATGGAATAACAACCCCAAGATGTCCATGCCTCAATCCCTGGAACCCAAGTCTGTATCACCTCCCACAGCAAAAGGAACTTTTCAGATGTGACTAAGTTAAGGTTCATGAGATGGGGACATTATCCTGGATTCTCTGACTGGGCTCAATGGAATCACAGGGTCCTTCCAAAAGGGAGGCTGGAGGGCCAGCATCAAAGATGGACATGTGACAGCGATGCAGAGGTCAGAGTGACTTAAGGCCACAGACCAGGGATGTGGGCAGCTTCTTGGAGCTGGTAAAGGGAAGAGATTCGCCCCCAGAGCCTCCAAAGGGGTCACAGCCCTGCCAACTCATTTTGGACTTCTGATCTCCAGAGCTCTAAGATAATAAATTTGTACTGTTTTAAGCCACTAAGTTTGCAGTCATTTGTTACAGCAGCCATAGGAAATTAATATACTCCCCCAGCAATAAAATACTCCTAACACCCCAACGGCTGCTGCATTACATTTTATAATTAAATCGTTGTGATTTAAATGTAAATGCCCCTTGGAAGAACAATAGCTTTTTAGCCTTATTGGGGGTTTTTGTTTTTGTTTTTTTAGTACATGTGAACAATCACATCCTTTTCTGAGAGCAAGTTTTAAAGAGAAAGAGCTTGGGGATTAAATGAGGCCAGAGAAGCACCTGTACAGGAGGAAACGGCATCTAGAGAAAAGAAAGGTGAGGAAGCCACTGGAAACATTTTCTATTTCATGATTTTGCCTGGGCTGGACCTTGGCCTTGGGTTTCCCTATACATATGCATTGCTCTGTTTTAGGAACCAGTTCATCATCCCTTGATGTTCAATACCATGGTCTACCTTGTTCCCACCTAATGGCTTTTGCACTTGCTGTTCCTTTGGCCTTGAATTCAGGCTTTTCCCCCAGACCTTTGCATAGCAGACTTCCTCCAATCCACCCACTGTCATTTCAAGTGGCCTTCTTCAGCGACTCTGTCCAGCCTACCCACTTCTCTCCCTCCTCCCTAACACACTACCTTTGTTATTGCCTTTGTTGCAAGGAGTTGCTTTCTGCCCTTATCATACTTGGTTTCTTGTTTACTGCCTAAGAATATAATCTCCATGGAGGAAAAGACCTTGTCCGTCTCATTCATCAGTCTATCTCCATTACTCAGAACCATGCCTCGCACACGCCTCGCATACAATAAGTGCTCAATAAATACCACTGAGTGTATCAAATGGGTAATTATGTGACACCTGAACTCTCAATGTCACCTTCTCAATGAAGTCTTCTTTGAGCACCTTCTTCAAAACTGTAACCCATCTCCAGCCCTCCTCAGCTGTCTCCCCTGCATTATTTTTCTCCCCAGCACTTATTGGCATCTTATGTATTAATTGCATAGTTTTTAGAACTATTTCTCTCTCCCATTACACCGGAAGTACCCCAAAGGTAGGGGCTTTTGTCTGTTTTGTTCTCTGCTTTGTCCTCAGGCTTAGCACAAGACATAGTAGCCACTCAATAAATACTGAATGAAGGAACAGATGGAGCAGATGGAACAGAACTCTCATAAAAATCCAGATTTGGGGATTCTCTTGAAAATGTGGACAATCCCACAGCATCAGAACCCCTTTCGCAGAGGACAGGAGCTAACACAGGCTGCCCGGCTAAGTCACAGCGATGACTCTCTCAGGGGCCATGTCCCCCACAATTCCTGCTGCCTGTTATGGACACTTGTGAAAACTACCCTACCTGTGCTAGGTGGGAAAGGTAGTAAACTGAGGCAGGGGGAGGGGGGAGACATGTCTCACCCACTGACTCAGCAGTCCTGAGCCTGGTCCGATAACATTGCCAGGTGTTCCAGCATCAGAAGGAACACCATGCTAACATGGGAGGCAGGAAGTCCTTGAAATTCTGTCTATCATTTCCACCATCTGGGAAAGAAAGCCTTGAAACTGTGTATTCATCCCGAGGCCTAGAAGGGGGAAGAGGAGGGGCCCCTAAGTACCCAAAGAAGAAGCCCATAAAACAACTTTGGTTAATTGCCTGCTTCTGGTCACATTCTGTTTTATGAGGGAGTCCCCTAGTACGTACAGGAAGAGCCCATAAATAACTTTGGGTAACTCGCTCAACTTTAATTAACTGCCTCCTCCCATGTATCTGTTTCATAACCAGATGAACAAATAGAGTCTGGAGCAAGGTAAGGATTTGAGCTAACAGATCCCCACTCATACCTATGTTTGGGTAGTCACGTCCCCCCAGAAAGCTGATACTATCTTTATCCATCAATCAATATGTAACTTCTTCACCTCATCCTGACAACTATGTAAGTCCTCAGGACAAGGGACCTGGTGCTCTTGCTGCCCTTGCCTTTTGTCACCTGGGCCCTTGACTTTCATCCCCACCTCAGCAAGGCCCGGTCTCTTTCCTGA